ATATACGTTAACACAAGGGACAAGGCGCAGTTCAACACATATTAACACTGAGGAACACTGACTATGGCCTTATCCTTATTACAACCTATGATATACGTGTGATGCTGATGCCAGCAGCTAAACCCATGCCGATGTTGATGACAGCGGCTACACACACACACACGCACGCACGCACGCACGCACGCACACACACACACACACACACACACACACACACACACACACACACACACACACACACACACACACACACATACACACACACACATACACACACTCACACACACACACACACACTGAAATTAAATTACCTCTTTTTTCCTCCGCTTCCAAGTTGACCTTACACTAACAGCTACAGAAAAAAAAAATCTGCACGGGCACAAGAAACCGGATTTGTACCTTTCATATACCGGATCTGTTTTTTTTTTTTTAGGCCTAAAATAGTTTGGTAGAAAGAAAAAAATCCTCCCCCCCCCCCCCCCCTAGCTCCGATAGTGTTCTTGGAAAATCTTCCTCGTTCTCCGTCTCTCTTTCTCTCTCTCTCTCTCCCCCACCCTTGCCCTACCCCATTCTCAGCCAATGGGTCAGGCTCAACCCCCGTCGCTCGTGCCCTGCCCCCCTTCTCCACCAATCAGAGCACAGCTTCTCCACCAATCAGAGAACAGTTCCCTCGACCCCACCCACACGTACGCACGGAGGGAACTCAAGATCAGGGCCGTACGTGCTGGCCCTTACAAGGCCGACGAGTTGATGAATTTAGATTTTGATTATTTTAGTTGTTTTTTTTCTTTTTTTCCATTTATCAGTATGATTTTTTTTGAGGGGGGAGGTGGGAGGGTTTACATTCGACACAAGTTCTCTCTAATTTTATATATTTTTCCGGAATTCTTGATTTGTTAGATATCTAATTTGATTTTTAATAAAAAAAAAAAAAAATAGTGAAATCGATCAAGATAATAAATGAAGCTTTTTATTTTTTTTCTAATTCATTTTCCCCACCGCGCCCTGAAGTCTAAAATCCAGTTTGTCTTCCTTTTGCGACCGCACGAGACGCCACAATTCTCCATGCTCTGTAGGGGGCTAGAAAGTGATATATGGGTGTCTGACCATTCTTATTTTTTTCTTGTTATTCCTTCTATTTCACTTTTTTAAATGTCACAAATACTCGAGGTCTTCTTCTACTTCTTGGAATGTGGTTTTACAGAAACCGTATTTATTAATGGAAAAGAAAGTATGATTTTGTTTTCTTCATAATCAATATTAAGTAATTTACATTTTCCCCACATTACATGCCGGTGCGATGTCGTTAGTCTCTCCTTCTACCGCAGTTTATCGACATTAAGCTTCTCTCTCGGTGGAAAACCATGCACGGCCTGGTAACGGGAAGTCGACTCTTCATTTGAACGAAAGAGGGGAAAATTTCGTGCTCTCGATCGGTCAAGGCTTAAAGAACGCCTTGTTATTTATAGGATTTATAACAAGCCCTGAAAATATATTTCGTCCCTCTGACCGCTATTCTTTATCAGTCGTATGCTAATCACGGCATACCTGTGATAAACGTTGTGATACTAAAGCAAATGTTCCGATAAACCGGAGACCACAATATCTCGACGCTGATTGGTCGGCCTGTGTTTCCTCGACGCTGATTGGTCCGAATGTGGGAAGTTTCCGTGACGTGTGAGCGCAGACAGAGAGTCTGTCTGATTCACTCTGTCACAGGCACTCCCTACTTATTTTCTGGCACCAGAACGTGACATTAATCTAAATGCTGAACTTGTGACTCATAATCAGGGCTATTTATAAGTATCTAATAGCATAGATTTTTTTTTCTATGATATTGCAGCTGTAAGGAGGTGGATATTGAGATAGGCACCGAGAAGCCGACAGTGTGCGCGCGATTCCTGGCTCAGCATGTGCGGAGGTGCCACTTCGATGATTTATTAACCTTGTTGTATATTCATGCCACCAGACTGCTTTCTTTCCGACTTTTATTCATTGATACCAAGGACAAGGATGACAACATTCCCAGATATGAGTGATTAAGGAGATAGAGATAGAGAATGAGATAGAGGGACATTTTTTTCCTCATAAGTCGATACTCATGAGTTTGAGGTGCCGGCTGATGACTGTACCACGTGGCGCTCTAACCATGCCATGCTTATACTCCCTAAAAGACAGAGCGGCTGGCAGGGAGAGATCAGTTATTTCCCTAACCAGGTTAAACTATAGGCTCGGGATGCAAGAAAGATAATTTCCAACGTGACTTTCATGAATTTCTCTCTCTTTTTCTCCCCCTTCTCCTCCCCCCCCCTCTCGCTCAGCTCTTCCCCTCCGACATTTCCGCGTAATGTTAGCGACGACCCCCCCCCCCCCCTTGTCCCCTCACCTCCCCGCCGCCCCTGGGAGTCGAGCCGGGTTTTCCTCTTCCCCTCTCCCGCCCTCTTCTCCAGGCCCGCCCTCACTTTCAGCCGGCGTGCAAAACTCGTTTGCGAATTTGCATATTAGACTCCATATAAACCAGCTCGGTGATAAAGCTTCATACCGAAAACACATTTTTTATATATATATATATATTTCCCCCGCACTCATGTCTTAACAGTAATGGCTTCAGCCCGATCCTCCTATCAAGCCGAAGCCACATCCTCTCAAACGCGAAAAAAAGCTGACGAAGCGAATTAACATTGTCGTTGGGGAGCTGCCTCGCTCCGCCTTGACGCTGCGATCACGTCATGTCATGGACGCTGATGGACTAGCATAGGGGCTGGAGGAAGAACTCAATCATCTGCGAAGCTCTCGTCATCATCAGCCATCTGCGCCGGGTCTTCGTGGCTCGGTAGGGGGGGGGGCAGCTGGAGATATACGTATATACGTATATGTAGGGTAACGTGTGTGTGTGTGTGTATGGGTGTGTGTGTGTGTGTGTGTGTGTGTGTGTGTGTGTGTGTGTGTGTGTGTGTGTGTGTGTGTGTGTGTGTGTGTGTGTGTATGTGTGTGTGTGTCTCTCGTCTCTCTCTTTCTCTTTCTCTTTCTCTCACCTTCATTCTCCCTTTCTCTCTTTCCTCTCGCCTCTCATTCCTCCCACACTAGAGTTGCCCAGTAACTATCCCTTCCCGTACCTACCTGTCTCCTGTCGACACGCTAGCGCCCTAATCCTGTAGGAATGTTCTTGTGTGTGTGGGATCCGATTAGCTAACAGTGGATAGGACTAGTGAGGGTGGGAACGAGGAAGAGGGCAAACTAGGAGAGAGGAAAAGAGGATGATAATGGAAAAGGGGAGAGGAAAAAAAGGGGGATAGTGAGAAGAGAAAAGGGAAGAAGAGATTGGTATAGAGAAATGGAGTTAAATGTGGGGGGGGGGATGAGATAGATATGCACAGGGAGAGAAGAGAAAAGGAAAATCCAGAACGAAGAGGGAGAGAGGGAATATTCTCGAAACGGGAAACGAATGAGAAAGAGAGGAGAAGCGAATGGAATGTTTGTGTCAAAAGAAAACATATAAATGCTTCCGAATTACGAACAAGGTCTCTCTCTCTCTCTCTCTTTGTATTTTATTTCTTTTCTTTCCCTCTTTTATAAACTTCTGTTTCCTTACACCCCTGGCAGCCAGACAGTAATAATGAGACAAACAAATGGAAAATCGATAAATGGTCTTGCCACACACTAGGTTTAAAACCTACTGGTTGGCATAAACACGCATACCTGTCGACTGTATGTAATCACATATACTCACACCCTTGCACGCACGCAACCACACACACACACACACACACACACACACACACACACACACACACACACACACACACACACACACACACACACACACACACTCACACACACACACACACACACACACACACACACACATACACACTCACCCTCACACACACACTCATCCTCACACACTCACTTACACACACACACACACACACATACACACACACATACACAAATTTTACGTCACACAGACACACACACACACATTTACAAGCACGCAGGCGCACACGCTCACGCCCTCCAGGTACAAGCCGCCCATCTACTTTTAGCTCGTCCACGTCATCAGCGAGGGGCTTCTTTTTATCTTAGCCCCCCCCCCCCCTTTTCCCCCTTTCCCCTCACTTTCACCTTTCCTCGTAAACTTAAGAACCCATTTACCATTAACCCAAAAGCTTAGGTTGGTTCAAGTTGGTGTCTTCAAGTCTTCGTTTGTATTATGTTAAATCTCGTAAGCTGTTGCAAAAGAGGGGAGAGGGAGGTAAGGGAAGAGGGGAATGAGGGAAAGAGGGAAGGTGAGGGTCAAATGGTGCAACTGCAATGGATGACGACGCCAGCCTGCTCGTGTATGGGGCGCCAAGACTAATCAATACACCCCCCCTCCCCTCCAGCCGTTGGTCTTGCCTGGTCATGGTTACCTCCTCGTAGGTTAGGGAGGTCGGCTGCTGTTAAGTGTCCTGCAGCCTCTTTCATTCTTGCTTTCTGTCTGCTTTCCGGTCCGATGGCCGCGTAATTAATTTTCTCTCTATTTGTGTCTATCTCTTGTCCCTTCTGTAAAGATATTTAAAAATTCCTTGGTACGTCGTCTCCGCTTATATTTTGTTATAATAATTCCTTTTCTTCTTTAATGTATTCATCTCTTTGATATGCAAATCAATAACGAAATCTGTCAAAAAAAAGCAATAACGCTCTTCTCCCGTTTCCCTTTTCTCGCGCTCTTGAAGTTAATGAATGAGAAGCACGCTGTCTAATCGATTATCGAGCCCCTATTACCCTTGGCCCACATGCTAGCAGGAAGTATGGCTGCCCATCAACTGCACGCTACAGCCCAAAGGAAAGAAAAAGTGGCATAGCGATTCATTCTACACAAGTAATGGGGCACTAAAGCGATTGTTGCACTGCCAAACTGTTGCTCAGTTGCGCCGCTTTTTTCGTGACCGTGAACATGCAAAACCACTGTATATCTGTCTTGCAAATTATTATTGAATTGAAATGCAACATAAGCAAAGAAACACGATGCTAATGACCTATCGTCTATCAGAGTAAATGTTACTGCTGTATGCTGAACGACCAGTAAAGAATGCCATTTGCAGTTTAAGCAGTTGACAATCAAAACCGGTTCACAGATGGTGTGTACTCTTCAGATGGCTAGTCACCGTGCCAAGAGGAACGTAGGCTCGTCAGACCTGACCGTGGCCTATATTTTCTTATGGAGACCTACTTCTTCTCGTTTATTCCCATAAATAAGTTGTCGAGACTATAGATTGCCACTGAGGAACACCACGAGAGAAACTCCTCTTTGGGGGAAAAGCAATCGTGTGGTTGACCTCAAGGAGATTTTTGTTTGGTATTATTGTTTTTTGTTCGTTCTTTCTTATTCTTTTTCTTGTTAATTTCATTTTTACAAACAAATATTGTGACTTTAAATACTTTTACTAACTTGTTTTCTTCTTTGCGCAGGTGCTTTCCTCATTCCTTATATGGTATGTGCGCTTATTGGTGGAATGCCCATGTTCTTCCTGGAGGTGGGCATTGGGCAGTTCATGAGCGAAGGAGGAATATCAGTATGGAAGATGTCGCCGCTTTTCCAAGGTACGTGTGAACTGGCTCTTCTAGGTAAATTAATTATCTACCTATGTATATTTCATGACTGTTCTATTCTTCCGATTCTTCCTTGTTCTTCATCTTTCATCTTATTTACTAGTAAATGTATTTATTAATTTGCTTTTTTTAAATTACAGGTATCGGTTACGCTGCAATCGTGGTATGTAATTGGCTCAACGTTTATTATATCGTGATCATCTCCTGGGCGTTCTATTACTTCATCTACTCCTTCCAAGCTGAACTACCATGGGCCTCGTGTGGAAACTGGTGAGAAAACATTCCTTGGGTCATCTTTACCTGTTTATATTGTCCCCTGCATTCATTATCATTTATTACAATTCATCGCGAGATTCACTACTAAGAGAAAGTGATCGAAAGTAAATCAACGAATCTGTCTTTCCCGTCCTAAGCTCTACCACTTATAAGTTTGCTTGTAAACAGACACATTGCATGCGCAGTCTTTCCACCTGTAACTTCTTTCAGTTTTGATTCTGGTCCTTGCACTCTTAAGAAATAAGAGCTATTTTAAAGCGACTCTCTTCTCTAACCAGGTGGAACACTGACTGTTGCGTGTCTGCTGGCAACCACACAGTCATCGAAGAGATCAAGGCCCTGAACAAGACGCCAAGGGATTCAGTAGTTGAGTTTTGGGAGTAAGTGTCTCGTTGTGTCTTGAGTTGGGTGGTTCATTGATTATATGATCTGGGATTTTTTTTTAAGAACTTGGAATATTACGCGGTAGATGTGTAATTTTTAGTTATCTGTTTTGTGTTTAGTCAGTTTGTTATCAGTCTATTTATTTTATTGGTAGTTTAGAATATTCGGGTGTAGCTTCGTATATCTATTTTTCTGCCTCTCTGTCTGTCTGTCTCCTCATCTCCCCCCTCCCTCTCTCTCTCTGTCATATTTGTCTCTTTCCCAGACCATCGAGGAAAAAACCAGTTGATATTAACTTATATATCCATACTTATCAATAAGTAAAACCACAAACTAATCCGGAGAATACAACAGAGATTATTCCAAAAAGCAAGAAACTGACCGCGTTTGCCTCTTGCAGCCGCCGCGTCCTCCAGATCACCGACGGCGTGGACGACATGGGTAGCATGGTCTGGCCTCTCTTCGGCACGCTCCTCTTCGCCTGGGTCCTCACCTACTTCGCCATCTGGAAGGGAGTGAAAGTTACGGGCAAGATCATGTATTTTACAGGTAGGTTCCAAATCGAATGCTCCGGTGGTAACCCGAATAAATAACATAATCACATCCGTCACAGCCAATTTTTTTCTCTCTCCTCCCTGATTGCTATACTTGGCATATTTGAAATAGCTGCCATTTAACGGAAACAGACATGACTACCCCCCCCTCGGGACAAAGAGCGAGCTGGGACGTTCTGTATTAACGAGCATTCTGTTCCAGAGGTGATTTGATATGATGATGATGCAGGACTAACAAGACCTCTTTACAGCCACTTTCCCGTATGTGATGCTAACGGCACTTCTAGTTCGCGGAGCAACGCTGCCAGGTGCTTCTGAGGGTATCCGATTCTACCTCGAGCCTAAATGGGAGAAAGTCCTCGAATATCAGGTAATAATCAGTGTTTTCAGGACCAAAGGCAGGGCATTCGGTCGCGGCAGTGGGGCGGTCTCGTCTGCAGTGTTACACCAGCGGTAAACAAGAAAAACAGGTAAAACTTATGGTTAATGGATCGATTACCAGTCTCCTCCCCAACACCTCTTTCTGTCAGATGTTTCGTTACTCATTTATATTTCAAATTTATTGTATGTGATGTTTGTGTATAGTATTTTAGATTATTGGCTGGGACATCGTTGCAAAACGCTCAGCTACAGACCAGACCCAGTCCTTCTGATATTGCCACGAACTATGATGGGGGAAAGTGGCTGTGTCTTTTAAGATTGCTTGTTGATTCAGGTCTTCCTATTAGCCCTGGTCGACGGGGGGAGAATGAGAAGAAAGTTGTCCGGCATGACGATATTTGTGTCTCAGATCTGTCAGTATATATGTTTATATATACACATATTTATTATACTGTCGTGCTGCTGACGTTTGCTTTTGGAAAAGAGCGGTTCCTGAGCTTGAAGTTCATATTCCTGGCTATGCACTGACATTTCCGGGCACAAGTCTGCTATACTGTAGAGCAGTTCACGAGCACATGTCTCTCTTGAAACTAATGAGGGACTTTGGCACCTAGTCCTTATCTGCGACCTGACGTGTCTCTAAAAATGGATGAAAACTGTTTACTGAACACTTCCACGAGAGAAATGCACTCTGGTGACGTAGAAATCAGAACAGCAGTGTGACCTGCTCTTGAGAGATAAAGCAGGGAGATGTTTGAAGCTTGTCAGCCCAAAATGAATTATAGACATATTGCTAGACATACCATTGTAAGTAATAGTAATGAATAAATATTCTCACAATCAGGTTAACTTACATGCAGTCAATAATTCTTTCTCTGGAAGAGTATTTGCTTCGGTAAGTTGTCTGTCTCAAATAGTATTATTTAACATATAGAATAAAGTCTGTACTTCTATTTGTTCTACAAGCTTTAGCATCTTCCTCGCTCTCACATCAATGCGGGCCACAAAAGTAAAGTCCCTCGCAGTTAAACATCTGCAGTGGAACACTTTTTGAGACTTTTTTAATGAAAAAAATGTTTTATTTATTTATGTATTTATTTATTTTTGTTTACCATGATTTGTTTTATTTTTTATTATTTTTACAACTGTCATCTGTTTTATTATGAAGAAAACTGGACACAGTCAAAGATGGTAACAGTTGAGGACTAGTTGTCAATAAAAAAAAAAAAAAAAAAAAAAAAAAAAATGTGGAGTACCTCTACATCTCCGTGACTGCTCTAATGATAGACCAACCCCGGCCAAGTATGAAGCCCTACATTGTTTACCATCTTGGTCTTTTGTATAGAAACTCAAAATGGGACATTGAAATATGTCATACTTGAAACACTGGTCATATGGCATGTGGATGATGTGCTCCACAGGTCGCTGAGCCAGGTTACAGGTCGGTCATCAGTCTCTTCTTCCTCTAACAGGTGTGGAACGACGCGGGTACCCAGGTCTTCTACTCGTACGCGGTGGCTCTTGGTGGCATGATCGCTCTGGGGTCCTACAACAAGTTCAACAACAACTTCATCAAGCAGTGCACCTTCCTCTGTCTGTGTAACTCTATGACTTCGCTCTTTGCTGGATTTGGCATCTTCAGCGTTCTGGGCTTTATGAGTTACCAGCTCGAGCTCCCCATGGAAAAAGTAGCTGAGGCAGGTCAGTAATACTCTTATGATTGTTAACAGATTGGTCAATTACCATTCATGGTTTATGAATCTATTTTTTTTAACAATCTTTGCAACGAGAAATGGCTATTGAATGAACAGAGATAAAGAGAAGCATTTATTGCATCAACAGAAACAAAAACAAATGATAAAAACAAATAAATACTAAAATATATGTAGGCAAACTAAAAATTAAAATCCCATTCCAGGACCTGGATTGGCCTTCATTGCTTACCCTAAAGCAATGGCCTCCATGCCATTGGCTCCCCTCTGGTCTGCTCTTTTCTTCTGCATGATTCTCATGGTCGGATTGGACTCGCAGTTCGTGCAGGTTTGTGTCTTTAATTTCACATTTCAAGTATGTTCAAATGAACCAGTTTATTCATAAAGGCTTATATAAACTTCAAATATTTTTGGAAGTCTGCTCAATAACCAAAAATAGGATAGGAGACTAAGCGAGACTTGCACAACAGCTACACAAGGTTATCTGCAAGTAAGAGGCAAACACGCAAGTATGAATGAAAATAAGCAAAATTGCCTTTTACCCGCAGGTCGAATCTGTTGTGACTGCCATTGTTGACTTATTCCCCGACTACCTTCGTGTTGGCCGCCGTCGTGAAGCTCTTGTGTTCGGTGTTTGCAGCTTTGACTTCCTTCTTGGTTGCACTATGGTTATGCAGGTAAGAATCTTGTTTATTATTTCTTCAGTAAGATCCACGATGACTTTCTAATGTGAATGCGAAATTCTACTTCAAATTATCATGAATTTTACTTACTTTTCCCACGGGTTATATTTTGTACTTACGCAGTCATGCATTTGTTTTTTCTTTTTATTAGGGCGGCATGTATGTGTTCCAAATCTTCGACACCTTCTCAGCCAGTGGTATCATCCTCCTGACCATCTGTTTCTGTGAGAGCATGGTCATTGCCTGGGTTTATGGCGCAAAGAGATTCTACGACAACATGGCAATGATGCTTGGCTATACCGTCAATCCCCTTCTTATGATCTGCTGGAAATTCCTCACTCCAATTCTCACTCTTGTAAGTTAATATTTGTTTTTATATGTTCTCTTTACTTTCTAGACTGTTTTGAACATTCTTTTTTTCTGACAATGACTTAGAAATGCCCTAAATAATCTCCTATTTCTCTTTTAAGGCCATGGTCATCTTTGCCATCGTGTTCCATACGCCTCTGACATACAACAAGACTTACGTGTACCCTGCATGGGCTCAAGGATGTGGCTGGATTCTCTGCTTCTGTTCTCTTATCTGGATCCCTGGTTACCTCGTCTACAAATTCTTCCAGTATCCAGGAACCTTCAGGGAGGTGAGTGTGGAAGATATTATAAATTAGCAATCTTATGTCAATACGCTCTTTCACATCTAAAGTGAATTCAGATCTATCAACTAGATTGTGCTACCTTTCAACGACAGTAATAATTGCATATTTGTGCAAGATAGAAGTAACCCTTGTCTCCCGTTGCAGAAATGGATTGCGTCAACCCGCCCGATTCTCAAGGCACACCACCTGAGGGCCGAAGACTGGGAGGACAATCCTCACATCGAGTACAAAAAGACAATGACAATGGATCCCCTCACCGAGAACGCCTAAATCCTCCCTCTTCCAAAGGAGTCAGCCGAAAGGGGTGAAGTTGGTATTCCTGTGTCTGACGGCAGCATCCTGTGGTAAATCCAGATTGTATTTTGGGGTTAGGATGAACGGTCAACGGGACACGTTTGTTGATGGAATGAATGGGAGACTTCGCAACGAGGACTGAGATTTTTTAACATCAAGAAAGAATGTGAACTGAAAATGCCGTTGATCCTTGATTTTAGTCAAGAGCAGCCATATGAATAAGGCGTTTCTGAATGGCAGTTCATGGCAGATAGTTCTGTGCTGTTTAGACTTATACGCATACAATAGATGTTGTGTAATGGAGACAGTGTGCTGCACTCCAAGACCCTTGTTTATATAACGACTTCGGCATTCGAGGTACGTTTTTTGCTCACTGCAGTGTTATGACATAGTGTCTAATACATTACTAGAAGAGGAACAAGCAGGAATCTATATAACATATACGTAAATCGCATCTTGTAGGTAATGCAAAATACCTGTTTAAAAAAAAATCCTGCAATCCTTATTTTTTCTTGGTTTCGTAATGTCAGAATTAAGTTAGATTTGGGTCTTGCTGAGATATTATTCAACCTACAAGAATGCTGTGTTCATACATTTATATGTTCTCTTTACTTTCTAGACTGTTTTGAACATTCTTTTTTTCTGACAATGACTTAGAAATGCCCTAAATAATCTCCTATTTCTCTTTTAAGGCCATGGTCATCTTTGCCATCGTGTTCCATACGCCTCTGACATACAACAAGACTTACGTGTACCCTGCATGGGCTCAAGGATGTGGCTGGATTCTCTGCTTCTGTTCTCTTATCTGGATCCCTGGTTACCTCGTCTACAAATTCTTCCAGTATCCAGGAACCTTCAGGGAGGTGAGTGTGGAAGATATTATAAATTAGCAATCTTATGTCAATACGCTCTTTCACATCTAAAGTGAATTCAGATCTATCAACTAGATTGTGCTACCTTTCAACGACAGTAATAATTGCATATTTGTGCAAGATAGAAGTAACCCTTGTCTCCCGTTGCAGAAATGGATTGCGTCAACCCGCCCGATTCTCAAGGCACACCACCTGAGGGCCGAAGACTGGGAGGACAATCCTCACATCGAGTACAAAAAGACAATGACAATGGATCCCCTCACCGAGAACGCCTAAATCCTCCCTCTTCCAAAGGAGTCAGCCGAAAGGGGTGAAGTTGGTATTCCTGTGTCTGACGGCAGCATCCTGTGGTAAATCCAGATTGTATTTTGGGGTTAGGATGAACGGTCAACGGGACACGTTTGTTGATGGAATGAATGGGAGACTTCGCAACGAGGACTGAGATTTTTTAACATCAAGAAAGAATGTGAACTGAAAATGCCGTTGATCCTTGATTTTAGTCAAGAGCAGCCATATGAATAAGGCGTTTCTGAATGGCAGTTCATGGCAGATAGTTCTGTGCTGTTTAGACTTATACGCATACAATAGATGTTGTGTAATGGAGACAGTGTGCTGCACTCCAAGACCCTTGTTTATATAACGACTTCGGCATTCGAGGTACGTTTTTTGCTCACTGCAGTGTTATGACATAGTGTCTAATACATTACTAGAAGAGGAACAAGCAGGAATCTATATAACATATACGTAAATCGCATCTTGTAGGTAATGCAAAATACCTGTTTAAAAAAAAATCCTGCAATCCTTATTTTTTCTTGGTTTCGTAATGTCAGAATTAAGTTAGATTTGGGTCTTGCTGAGATATTATTCAACCTACAAGAATGCTTTGTTCATACAGAAAAAAACACAATCAGTGTTTGAAACCGTTGTTGTGTGCAGCATTTCACCCTTGCCGCCTCGATTATAGTTCGAAATGTTAGAAAAATAAGTAAATACAAATAGATCTTTGATTTAAAAGTACGCACCAAGATGCACCAAGATTAGAAAATAACTCCTTAACAGCCTTTCAAGATCAAACCAACGAGGCTGAAATATTAGAAGAAAGAAAACTAAGAAGAAGGATAAGAAGAATAAAAGACAAGAAAAAAAACACACAAAAACAGTTACGTTGATGACATACCTTTAAATTTTGAATAGAGTCTCCACTGCGAACTTGAATAAGCCTACAGTTAAGAACTCATGGTAGGCTAAAAGCGGCTAACGTTGTCGTTTTTTCTTTGCCTTCATGGATCTGTTGTAATCATCATTGTTTATCTACGCATATTCTCACCGTCAGGACTCATCGATTCATCCTCTTGTTGTCTATTTTCGTAGATGTCATTGTGAATCATTATAACAGGCATACATTATAACATACCATTAGTATAGGCATAGGTGTAAGTAGTGAATAGGATAAATCTGTGATGCTCGACGCCTGCTTCAAGTGCAGGCTGGAAGGATGTAGGGAGGGAAATTTTTATCACAATATTAGTTATAGTTTGAAGAAATTATTTACTGTCTTACGGTGTCTTTAGATCTATTCACTGAAACATCGGCAAAGAAAATATCTCATATTAGTATCGGTTTAGCATCTAAGAGGCCTAAGAAATGTTGACATTCTGGTTTTCAATAGGACAGTGGATTCCTTTTTCGACGCACTTAAACTTGTGGTGACGTAGCGGAATTAGAATTGAGCTGAAAATGACATTGACTGAATTTTGCAAACGAAAAAAAAAAAAAAATTGTTCTCTAGATTTATCATTAGTGAGATCTTAGACAAAATTTCTTTTACGACTTACAAACTAGGCCACCGAAGACAGATTCTTTTCAATACTTTTATCATTATTTTATATTTCACATATTATTTAGTAAAAAGTGAAGGCATAAGCATAATCCAGTTTTTACTGCCTTTGTTTTCATGTACAAATCTATACGTGTATATGTAAGTAGATAACTACTAATGACTTGCTTTTTAGGAAAAGAATGAATTTGATTATACTCCTTTTGTATTTTAAAATATTATATAAAAAATCCCAATGCCTTTGGTTTCTGGGATTCGAGAATCTTTGTTGATCTTGTAAAAGGAATCATTCATTTTCTCATCGACGCAGCCACAGCACCACAGGGTCTACGAGCTCATTTTGAACCTCCTGACGGGCAGTTAGGTGCGTTCAAGAAGGGCTAAGGTTTTTTTTTAGCATTCCATTGTCTCGCTTCAGCCATTCACATCCAGTAGATATTTTTGTTTCCTTTTTTTTTTTTCTTTTTTTTTTTTAGTGCCGTCATATTCAGAGCCATATTCAGAGCCATGTACATTCACTTTATGTATTTTTTTCATATCCATGTTGTTTGTTCAGCTCATGCACAACACATTTCATCGGGGAGAAACCATGTTATCGATTTGCTATTGTCTTCCATTTCTTTGCGAAAATGGAGTTTAGTTCTCTTTATTTTCTTCTTCTTGATTTAAGGATAATTTTTTATATATCTCTCAGTCTGAATGAGATAGTTGCTATTTTTCTCTTTCTTTGGTCTCTCTCCATTGTTTTTTAGTATTTACCAAATTCTTGCCAAGATATGAGGGCATTCAAAAGTTATATTGAGGTCAGCAAGAGAATAATTAGCTGTTGTATTACTGTTAAAACACCGTTGTTAATTTGCTCACGGAGACTGCGAAGACTTGCTGTAGCCGAGACCACAAATCTAGGGGGCGAAAACCCGCCTTTCGTTTGAGGTGATCAGCAAGTCCCTCTAAAAATAGCAACCTCATCTGCCTGTTCTTGGCATAAGTTCTGTGAACTATATTTAGTATTAGAGCTTAGAACCAATTACTTTATTTATAATTGGATTATATATATACCTAAACAAACGTATTGCCAGATGAACTGGCGCTGCTCAATGCTGAAATAGGTAAGTTGGGGGTAATAACGCGCATTCTGTAAGGAAATTTTGAGTCAAAAGAAACCGTCAGGTAACTACAATTAAACAGAATTTGCGTCAAACAAAACCCCCAACTTAATCTAAATTATTTTATTGTGTTTTGTTGATCGAGTGGCTGCACCAGTAACCAGTGGAACTTGCCATAAAGCAATGAAATGTGAAATTAAACGTTTGGAAAACAACCTACCGAGGCCAGTGTCATTATTTAGTTTTATTTTAAATTGTGGTAGAAATCCACTCATCTCACTGATCAGGATGTCTACGGTTTGTACTTTACAACATATTTATCCGGCGATATATATATATATATATATATATATATATATATATATATATATATATATATATATATATATGGATTACTCATGGGCAAAGTAACAATCTTCGCGAAAAAGTTCAGTCATGTAAAATAGCTCTCTGTTTTACCTATTTAGGGATTTGAAGGTTGAAGTTCAACATGAGTGGTTCATACAGTGCATTATACATATGTATGTGCTTGTGTGTGTATATATATACACATACATTACATACATACAACATGTACATTCCGGCAGGATAAATGGTGTAAATGAAAAAAAAAATATATATATAGTATATATGCAGTTCATGGCAGATAGTTCGATCTGGCTTGGACAAAGATCAAATGTTCAATAGTTTATTTTTTGTTTTCTGAAACTCTTCGAATTTTCCATCTTTCGCTGGAAATTTTCTATGTATTACTTTAACTCTAATCCCACTTTTTATAACGATTCACTATTGTATCTTGTCAGTATTACCATAAAACAAAACGGAACAAAATGAAACACCTCCATTGACTTTCAAAGAAAATATATATATTCTTGTATCCTCTTACCTGTCAAATATATTCAACTGCAAATGGCATACTTGTTTCACGAGATGGAATTGGGAACAATGATACGTTAGCATTTTAGTAGTAATTTGAGAGAGTAAAACAACATACAAGCATACACTCACAGGAGTATGAGATTAAATGAGCAGGGAGGAAAACCTTTTACAGTCAATAATAGAATTCTTTCTTGATTCTCGTGTTGGATTATAACAATAAGATAAAATAGTAAAAAAAATAAATAAATAAATAATAAAAAAGTTTGTCTCACAAGACTATTCAAAGTTGGTTACAGGAAAGTGGTCTGTTCTTGAGCTGTAAAACTATATTTTCTTACTGTAAAACGTAAACATGGTCTGTGCTGTTTAAATAAAGTTTGAAATTAGAACTCGCTGTGTATTATTTACTCTTTACTTTTATTCATGAATTCCTACTGTATATGATAACAAACAAACAATAAGCATATCAAACATTTTAATCAACTTAATCAAACATAAAACGTATGGGAAGTGATGAACACGATAACGCAAAATGAAACAAAGTAAACATCATGTCTTTATTATTATTTTTTTAACAAAACACAAACATCACCAACAATGTACAACAATTTCGATTTTCTCATCTGGAATCACATCACCACCCAAACCTCTTTTGTTTCTTTATTTGGCGGTTTCTCGTACCAGCATCGCAGTTACATCTGCATCTGGTCTAAGCAGAGAAACCTATCAAAACTATAAACGGTGATAATGATTGTGTGATGTAAGATATGCAATTAAGGGTTAAACATTTTGTCTTCATAGGAAGCGTGTAATATCGATACCTTCATTGCATATCTCGTGTGATTTTTAAAGTTTCCCTTCATATCATCTCTGCCTAGTTCAGTTTGTGTTTGTAGGCGATATCCAACACCAAACATTTGACTGACACTTTCATTTGCTTAAACAATCAATGAATATGAATACTTCCTTCATGTTATACGTCATTTCAATATTCGGAGCTGAGTCGTTAACACCCTCTATGAATATTGATATGCGGAGCTACTAGGCACGACTTACAATAAAATATTTTATAAAGGATATTGCAAGGGCCTGAAGTAGGCTTGTACAGCAAAACGGACATTCAAGTAATCTCAAATATATCTTATGGTCTCCCCGTTTTAGATATTTCTTCGGTTCTATGAAAATAATAAGAACTCTCTGTCTATATATAGGATTTACGATTTCAATCCCCCGTGGCCACACTAATATCGTGGTATAAAAATCGTTAGTAATAAGTTCCTAGTCAGTGGCGAATCCGAAAAGCCCCATAACAAAGCAATGCAGTGCATGCAAGAATGAGGGAATCATATTGGACTATCTCGATAACTGGCAAAATTCAGTTAATCTTAACTATTGAAAAGTTTACTATATTAAACAACAGAAATACAAGAAAATATCTGGTAAAACGTGTTCGGTCCCCTTTTATTGACCATTAACCCACCGCAACCAAAACCACCTGAAACCTTGGGATTCGAGGTTCCTATTTATGCCTGATTAATACAGAAGAATTTTTCCAGTACATCTCTCTATACATATATACATATAAAGGATATGTAAATAAATATTTCATTTAAAATTGTGTCCTTTTCCTCAACCTTTGGGATGACTTTACGGTGAAATCTACGTAAACACCTTCAACAGACCAGAAACACCTCCAAACAGCACAAATCAGAACTACATTTCTGATCAACCCATTCTTACTTCATTCCAATTTCCTTAAATTATATCTTGCTGTCCTGATACATGTTCCTCGGTCTTCCTTATTCATCCTTGGATATGAAAACGTGTCAAGGAAGTTAATGCTATGCTTCCATCAGGAAAGGTCCCATGTCAGAGAGGGTAACTTGTGACTTCGAATAATAGATTTCCTTAAAAGATGTGCCAAGCGCCACCAAGCTCTTTAAATTAGAGATTGGCTAAGGTTGAAAATGTGTTAGAGCTTTATGCTTTTGTTTTTAAGACTCTATCATTTAGGCACAAAGAAAACTATCCTCATCATCAATAATGCTCCTAGCTTGGAATAGAGAGAATAAATAAATAAATGAATAAATAATAATAATAATAATAATAATAATGATAAAATAAAGACTTACCATCAACACGTATTGATCAGGAATTTAGTGTTGTGCTGCTGAGTGCAACAACAAGATAATAACATGGTGATATACTGCCTGATGTCCGTGCTGCGATATAAGTTCTTAGCATCCATGTTTGTAAATGTCCAAAATCAGCAATTTAAACAACCTTGTGAGAATGCGTACTTGTGGCCTCAGTGTACGCGCTGCAGGTCGTAAGAATAAGTTAGTGGCAGAGTCATAAGGCGCCGAGCTGCTTGAGCATATGTAACGTGAATGTGAAGATTAGTGTGAATCTTTATTTATTTCTAATATTTTGATGGAAACACATACACATTCATACGCTTACATACAAACACACACACACACACACACACACACACACAAACACACACACACACACACACACACACACACACACACACACACACACACACACACACACACACACACACACACACACACACACACTCACACACACACACACACACAAACACACACACACACACACACACACACACATACACACAGATATGAGCAAGGCTTTGTGTTACCTCTTCAGCTGTATATATAATAGTTATTATAGCAATTTCAGTACCTATAGTATTATTTGTTTATTACCACCAACCATTTATTCATTTAGCTTTCATAATTTACATAAGCTAATTGCGAGTAAATAAATTGTAAATATATAAAGTAGTTTGTCCGTTAACAAAGGAGAAAACGAAAGCGGTTCAATGTATTTATAGAAAACGTAACTTACATAGGGGATACTTCTTCAGGATAAATTTCCTCGCTTTAAACAAACGTAACTAGAAACTGTGGCGAATCAAATAGGGGACATTTCTTCTGTGCAAATTCCCTAGTTGTAAACAAACGTAACAGGAAACCATGACGTATCCAGAATATTTGAGTTCGGGGGTGCCAAGCAAGGTAATGAGATAGTATCAATGCTTGTTAGTTTTTCTTTTTTAACCAACAGAATCAACCTAATCTTGCTTGCTAAACTGTATGAACAAAATGAGTATTAAATATTTCATATAAAATATAGTTTTTTATACAGATATAACTAAACTGGATTTAACGTAATCATTTATATCCTAGATCTCACCGCATTTTATCAACAATCATTATTTTCATACAGGGCATACTGGTCCCATTTTAGTTTTAATTATTTAGATAGTAAGATGACAGAATATGTACGATGTGATCATGTGAGGCAGAAATTAAGAGACGAATAGGAATTTCAAAGTATACATTTGGCAACAAGAGGAAATATCTAACAAGCAGGAAGCTCTTAGAAAAAAAAGAACAAGGAAAAGCCTCTTTAAAACACATACATGGGTAGCATTGTTATATAGTGTTGAATGTTGGTGAAGAGGCTGGAAGCAATGGAGATGTGGCTGTCGACGAGAATGATGATCTTGTGGACAGCAAGACTAGCAAACGAGATAGTATTTTGGTCACATTATGCGAAGAGAGATGTCGAAGAACTTGATCATGACGGAAATGGTGGAAGGAAAACAAAGAAGAGGAAGTCCAAGAGAAAAGAAGGTGGACGGTCTGGTAAAGCCTATGGTGGCGCTTCAAAATCGCAAATCTGTAGAGCTACGAGGGAAGAATGGAGATCCATGGCTGCCGACGTCCTGGAGGACTTGGTACATCGTTGAGTTGAGTTTATTCATATATATATATATATATATATATATATATATATATATATATATATATATATATAAATTTACATATATATATATATATATATATATATATATATATATATATATATATATATACATATATATACACATATATTTATATATATATGTATAAATATACATATATATGTATATGTATACACACACACACACACACACACACACACACACACATATATGTGTGTATGTATATATATATGTATACATATATATATATATATATATATATATATATATATATATATATATATATATATATATATTTGTATATGAATGGTAAAACACTCTTCCGTGTTGACACTATGGTAGAAAAACCCACAATGCAAAAAATAGATATACTGAAAATGAGACTAAAATTTCGAAATCCAACAAGCTCCTTTTCTTGGACAATCTAGTTGTCCATACATCCTAGTTGTCCATACATTCCCATACCTGCTCTCCATGTAAGCAGGGTGTTGCCACCTCGCTGTTCCTCCGCATCTGTGAGACCCCCAGCACCTGGATGGAGAGATCGACATCTTGCGTCGCCCTCTTCACCCCCTCAACTGTGGGCTGATCCCTCGCCAGGTGTCGTTGCAGCCTCGCCCTTTTATTTGAAGTTTGTTTACTGAATGAATACTTCTATGGATTCTGGAGAAAAAAGTATTGCTGTTGCATCTTCCTTTATTTTCCATAACTGATGAATACAATTTCTACATCTTCCATATCCGTACTCATACGTAAAACTGCAAACAAAACAATGTGGAACGTAACAACTGTGACCTCGTGGTCATATATACTATTAAATTTGTAATAATTCACACAATTAACTCAATTAAAGCACATCATTGAATGCTAACAAACTCATAAAACATAAAATCATAATAATAGGATGAATAAACTAGTACAAAGAATGTAATTTACCTCCAAACCCCTACGATAGGGCCTGGTGCTGTTAAGCGACCACAGCTGCCGTTGAAGTAAACAACCGAGTTCCAATACCCGTCTATGTATTCAACTTTAACACATAGACTTTTAAAACATTTTTATTCATCTTTACTTTCTTAACTGGGCTGCTACACTTACACCAGATGAACACTCTCCGTCCACACCAGTCCTCCTTCTACCTCGGAGGTGGGCACCTGTGCCTCCTGTGATAAACAATACTTTGGCGAGACAGCCGCAGTCTCACTAAGCGTCTGTTTCAACATAAGTACGCTGTACTAAGGGGACATAACAGCAACGCCCTCTTTTGCCATCAGTGGGACACAGGCCATCAGATGAACTGGTCAGGGGCGCAAACCGTCTTTCCTTCCGCTGATGTCTACGCCCGGAGACTCGTGTAATCCTCCGTAATGAAGCTGCTGCCTAATTTCAACTTGAACAGCGGCTTTCGTATTGCCCATAGTACCCCGCTTCCCATATCCTCCGCCTTCTCCCTTATGCCGGCTACCCTGCGCATGGTACATCCGATCCTACGATCTGACCTGACCTTTGCTTCCGTTCATCTGTCCTCACCTGCCCCGTTTACCGCATTTACTTCCCCTCTCTGCACACACACACACACACACACACACA